GGCAAATGATTAAGCCAAAAGGCCCTTCACCAGGTACAATAGGCATCATAATCTCCTCCTGGAGGGCCACCATGATAAGTGGTAACACAAAAACCAAAGTCTTCCCAGATCCTGTGAATGCAATTCCTATCATATCTCTACCAGACAAAATAACAGGCAATCCCTGTACCTGGATGGGAGTCGGTTGAACAATGCCCTTTGCTTTAAGCTTCTCCAGAATAGGTTCAGGAAACCTCATGTCTTTAAAATTTTTGATGGGGGGTGGGATGTCCTCTCCATCCACAATAATATGCCACTGTTTGCGGATGGTGTCACAAGCTTTTTTTGACATCTTTCTGATGGCTAATGGTGGCTTCCAGCCAGTGAGCATAGGTTCTGTATATGTAATCCCCTTTGCAAGTTCACGGACTGACATTAAAGTCTTCCTATCAGAGAGATGCTCAATCATCTCCTTCTCTTGCAGAACCATTTGCTCGGTCTCACTCACCTCTGGCAGCTCCTTCTTTAGCTGAGTAGCCTTCACAAGCAAACTTGGCTTTGCCTCAACTTGGTTTATCTTTTCAGCTTCCTCTTCCAATGCAGCAGATTTCCCCTTGCGCTGGAGAATCTTTTGTGCTTCAAGTGCCCTTCGCCTTGCAACAGGAACATACTCAACGTAATCCTCGTCCTCCGACATACTCGACATAATCGTCGTCCTGGCGATGGCGGCGCCGGAGAGCAGACGGCGGATATCGCGAGTCGCGAAGATTGCGAACAATGCGGGGAATTTTGGGGACGAAGCAGGAGCAGACGGAATGAAAGGGGAAGGGAGGAAGATAGAGAGTGGAATCAGCCAATCAGGGAATTTTGGAGTTAGGGTTTATATCAGTGAATTCTATTTTTGGTCCTATTTTTATAGCGATCTTTCTAATTTTAGTTTATTATAATTTTTTGGAAAAATGACACTTTTTATCCCTGAGTTATATACTTATAGCACTTTTCTCCCCTCAGTTATTTAGGTAAGCACATTATCTCCTTAATTATTTTAAAAGTGGTGCTTTTTCCCCCCATGATATATTAAATTGATATTTATACCCTTAAAGTAAACACTTTATTTATTTTACTACTCCAACAAATTATTGCGTATACGTAGGGATGACCACGGTTCGATTTGAATTGAACCGGATACTAAAGCAATCGAATTAATAGTTTACGGTTATAATTCAGATCTAGAACCCAATATTTAAATGTCAATTTATTAAAATTATGTATCAAAAAACTGAATCTTGAACCGTGAACCGGCGGTTCCGGATCTGATTCGCGGTTTTGAACCGTCTTTATTTTAAATTTTTATTTTTTATTTTAAAATAGTCTAAATTCAACAATAAATGTATTTTATTTTTTTTCGGAACATGAACCGTCCGTTCCGGTTCACGATTTTAATAAACTCTAAATATCGATTTTCGATTCTAAATTGTAATTGGAATATTTCGGTTTGGTTGCTATAGTGTTTGTTTAGTTTGAACCAAATTATGGTCATAATTTGTTGGAGAAAAAAATAAATTAAATATTTAGTTTAAGGGTAAATATGTCCATTTAACATTTCAGGGGGAAAAACAGCCACTTCAATAACTTAGGGGGAAAAAATTGTCATTTTTCCTAATTTTTTTTATTACATTGCATCCACTGTTAATAAAACCGTTCTAATTTTAGTCTACGTTAGACTTTCCGTCATTTGGCCATGATTTCAAGGGGTATTTCCGTCTTTATAGTTAAATACGACGTCGCTTCTCTCAACAGCCCCCTTGTCGACGACCTCGCTGACACCGATTTCCACTCCTCCTCCTCTGATGACCGCATCGACGGGTTTGAAGACGCCATTCAGCTCAACTCCAACGACGAAGAAAATTCCTAGCCCGAAGAGGAAGACGGCTAAGATTTAAACCAAAATTGAAGCATCGAATCCAACGTTCTTCCAAGCAGATCGCAACCAAAATCGAATAAATTGAAGCTCAGGTGCGCTCTCTGCTTTTCAAAATCGAAGAAACCAAAATTGAAGATTAGCTTTTCAAAACCGAAGAAATTGAAGCTCATGTGTAGAGGTGACCACGATTCCGGTTCGAACCGTAGGTTCGAACCGAAACCGTAACTGTGCTAACCGGAACCGTCCGTACGGTTCCGGTTCCAAACCGTGAAATCTAAAAAAAAAAAAAAAACATTAAAAACTTGCCAAATGCCAGTAGGCCACTGGGCCACGTGTAACATATATAACATAATTTTTTTTAGAAAAAAAAAAAAGATAGAAATTTCGGTTAGAACCGTCGGTTCTAACCGGAACCGGAACCTTAATATAAGGTTTCGGTTCCGGTTTGACCATTTTCGGAACCGGAATCGGCGGTTCCGAACCGGAACCGGAACCGTGGTCATGCCTATTTAAGAGTGTTACAGTTTTCCAGAAATTATTTTCAGTTTTCAAAATGAAAAACTGTGCTAGTAAACATGTTTTCTGTTTTATATTTTTCACTTTTCAGAAAGTTTTAGAAATTTTTAATTAGTAAATGGTCCCAAAATGTTCCTAATCGTAAGAATTCTAATTCTAATTGGGCATTAGAATTTTGTCATACCAGCACATTGTCCAACTTTTTAGATATGATAAATTTTATGTCATTTTATATGGGATATAAAGAGCGAACGTGTGAGTGGTTGTTAGTAGAATGAGTTGACTAAATAGGGACTAACGACAAACAACGAATGGCATGTGAATTACGTTATAGTTATTGATTTGTTGTTAGTTACTATTGTGCAACTACTCTTTTGACTTGAACAACATAGTTGAATTGTCTTGTACATAAAAATGGATTAGCTTTTGCTACTAATTAGCTTATCTTTCTTGTTAATATAGGTTAAACGTACTTAGTAGCTCTAATCTAGTTTGTATGGAGACGTGTGTGTTCAATAAAGAATCTACCATTTTGAGATAATAAAAATATTATGGGACATTTAATAATTTAATAATAAGAATTCATGTTATTATTATTGAATAGACTTGTATAATGGGATAAATGAGACTTGTTTGGTCATAAATTTTATTAACTTATTATAAGTGTTGTGTGGAAGGATTATATTGTGAGATAATTGTAACATAAAGATTCGTATGTAGCGAGTGGCCGCTTCATTCTCAACTAGCTAGGTACTCATCATATAGTCATATACGGCTAGATATCACTAACAACTTATGACTACTTTAAGAATATATAAATTTTTAAAAGATATCAAAAATGTTTCAATATTTATTGTTATCAGTTTGACCGTGAACTTAGATATAATAATATCCAGTATTAAAAAGCTTAGCTTAGTGCCTTTAAACCCCCAAAGGGCTAAAAATAATCATGTGGTGGGTTCATGTAGGAAAGGTAAAAAGTGAGGATTGATATGATTCATCCAATTGAGTAGATTAACGATGGAGGGTTGATGAAAAATAAGTAAAATAATATACTAAAATTCTTAACCATTGATAAACCTTAATAAACATATGAGATCATTCCTAAATCATAATTTGGGTGCCCTTAGTTTCTGGAAAATTTTTATATTTTCCTGAAAAAAATAGAAAATACCAAATGTGTTTTTTAAAACATAATTTTCCAATTTTCCATTTGATAAATTGTTTTTCCACTTTTCAATTTTAACAAAAGATTTGGAAAATAATTTTTTTCATATATTTTTTTTAAATACAGAACTACACATAACTTCATTTATAATCACTAATATTATTACATACAAATTTCATTATATCTACTTATTTTTATCACCACTATTATTCATAGGTCTATGTATTCATCATTGTGACTCCTTATAATATTTTAGGTTTTTACTGTACCTATGTTATTACTTATTAGAAATTACAATGGTTAGGTACTTTTTTGTTTATCCATTTTAAAATTTGAATTATAATAATGTAAAACTACCCAAACATAAATGAACATTGCACATATCTATTTCAAACCCATTTGACAATATCCATATAGTACTTGAAATCACCACAAAATCTATTTAATATAATACACGCACATGCTCGTACACACACAACTGAGTATTTTGCACGAGATTTTTACGACTACTCTCGTTTCCAACTCAACTATCAACTATCCAAACCCATCATATTAGGGTTTAATAGCCGATATTATTTTACTCATTGCATGCCATCCAGAGATATTATTCATATCAATCTAATTTAAAATGCAAAAAGTAACACTCAAAATTTTGAGTATTTAAACTGACTTGGTCCAACGTGCACACATAATCGCATCACTTGATATTATTATCAGATCACCTTTTACGAGTATTATTTATACATTAAAATAAAGAAAAATAATTGAATTTTAAATAACTGTGTAATTTTCATTTGAAAAATAATATAAAAATAGATGTCGTATTTTTAATAATCGTTTTCATGAAAAAATAAAAATGAGAAAATTGTGAAAAAAAAAAAGAAGAAACAGACAAATGTAAAGCAGGAAAACGTATGGGTTTCCCTTTTTTTTTTTTTTTTTTTTTTTTTTTTTTTTTTTTTTTCATGCTCTAGATTGGTAGACAAATTAAACTGTACAATTCATTGATTCTTTGGAATTGTTTGCTCAATCACTATACCGAGACACACTTCAAGGTTAATTTTTTGATCTTTTATTTTACCGATGCTTTTATTGTGTGTATGCATTTTTTTAACATGTACTCTTTTTTATTTGCAATAAGAGTTTTTTCGTCTAGATTTATGTAATTTTTGTAGTTTTTTTCACTTTATAATTAAAAAATTATGAGATAATTATTAATAGACCTAGATGATAAATATATAACACAACCACATATCTTAATTTTATTATTAAATAAAAGAAAAAAATGAATGGATAAAAATTATAACTCATTTTATAGATCTATCTAAAAGGATATGACATGTGAACACAGGAATAAAAAATAGTATAAAATGTAATCTTCCAAAAAATGACCATAATTCTTTCTACCTATCCGTCCATCACCGGCGAAATGTCTTCCCTTTCTATTTATGGAGGAAATGGTCACATCTCTTTCATACCCATCTTTCCCATTCCTATATACCCACTCCCTCTATTACTCTATAGTCTATACACACTCCTTTCATCGCAAAATTCATTCATTCTCCATACTCGTTAAAGCTTTCTCTTTTTTCATTTTTTTCAGGTAATATATATTATATATTTGTACTTTTATTTTATTTTATTTTTCTTCCAAACCCGTTGCCTCTCCTAGTCTCAGACATACTTTTAAGCTATACGTGGATAAATCTTTCGACATTATTTGATGTTTCTACTTTGTTTTGTTTTAACGGATTATTCTGGATAATGGCTTCCCTTCTCGAATATATGTAATGGGTTTGTAGTGAAATATATTGTTCTTGGATTTCTTTTCCTATTAATAATCCCAATTATGTTAAAAGACTTAACTTTTTTTCTTTTTAGCAATATTTTTATTTCGTTGCTGAAGTACCAGATCTCTAATTCTGGTTTGATACAGGGTTTTGCTATTCATTTTAGTTAATTTGAAATAATGGGTGTTCTTGGAATATAAAGTAAAAAAATGTAAAATTAGCTTTCATCATGTTGTGAGAGAATCTGTTTTACTTGGATGCTGGGGCTTTCTATCAAACAGTAGTTGTTTCAGTGGAAAAAAATGATGAAGCTTCTAAGAGGATGTTAATGAATTCTTGGTGTCAAATTTGATCTGACTGGATATATGTTGTTTTCATATCTCTCTTTTTTGGTTGGTATAAATTAGTTCTTGTCTTCTTGATTCCAATTTTTGTGTTTTCATTTTCATTCCTGATCCCTTCTTTCATTTTTTTTTTTTTTTTCTTTCTGGGGATTGGGTTTTGATTTTTTGGCTGGTGGGTAGGTGAAGTTGATGTTTTTTCAAAGATCCAGTTTTTCCACCTAACTTGACTTTTTGGAGTTTTCAATTAAGATAAGATAATGGATCTGTTTGATATTTGGGCAAGGTTGTCTAGTCCATCGTGAAAAATAGGGTGCCATTATTATATGGGGGTGTTTGTTAAATAGCTGTTAGCTGATTAGGTTAGTCGGGTTGATTAGTTGATAGCATTAGCTAATTGTAGAAAAGTGTTTGGTAAAATTAGTTGTTAGCTATAACTGATTACATGGAAAATGACTTGTTCAAAAAGCTGATTGAAAAAACTACTTTGAGCAGCTTTTTGAATTCTAACATTTTGAAGCAATAAATTGTTACAAAAAGCTAATTAATCAAACACTCATATTGATTGTTTAACCAAGTCAAACAACTAATAATGGTCAAATAAGCCAAAATTGGCTGATAAACTAACTATGTTACCGAACAGGGCCATATATTTTAATCCATTAATTTAAAACATGTGTTTCATGTTCTAAAGGATAGTCAATGCTATTGGCTGAGTTGTCAATTATCTCCCTAGTGGTGTTAAATGTTTCAAAGATGAGTTGAAGTTTTTTGTTTTTGCTAGGCAGTTTACCTTTTGGAATCTACTTTCATTTACAATCTTATGCGATATAGTGCAGGTGATTATTTTCTGAAATTAGAGATGGAAGTAACAGGAGGATAAAAGCGTTTTGTTTTCTATGGCCTTGGCAGGTTCTTCTTTTACTTCCTTTCCTTTTCTTGTTTCCTTCCATTTTCTCTACCTACTGATATTTGACTTGTGAAAAGTTACTCTGTAGAGATAGTTTTTCCCGAGATGACTTACAAAACGCTTTTTCTTGTACATAGTTATTCGGGCAATGCTTGGGGGTGAAAGGAACTCAAGGAGCTTAGAGAGTAGTAGCAGCATAGGTACGAGAATCCAGCAGAGCATTAGTAGGATCGGGAGTAGCATGGAATTTGAATCTGGTTGGACAAATCATAGAAAGTTGTCGGTGTTTACAGCTCAAGTTATCCATTCTGCAATGTCTTTTATGCCTTGGTCTTCTAGAATTTCCATAAGTGAAGGCTATCACGAGTTTCTCTAGTCAAATCAAATGCACTTTGTTAAGTTACACGTTGAATTTGATCTATCAGAATTGTGGGAAAAAGAGAGTTCCAGAACCGAAGTTGTGTTTCTCTGATCAAATGAAGCTAGACAATACGGGCTATTCAGAAAACAATTCTCGCTTTACTTCTTTCTTTTCTAAAGATTCCTATTCTCCCATCTTGCCTGGATTGCCAGATGATGTGGCAAAATACTGCCTTGCTCTTGTTCCTCGGTCTTATTTTCCTGCTATGGGTGGTGTCAGCAAGCCATGGAGATCGTTTATCAAAAGCAAAGAGTTCATCATGGTACGAAAACTAGCCGGTTTGCTTCAGGAGTGGCTTTTTGTCTTAACTGCAGATGGTGACGGAGAGCAAAGCCATTGGGAGGTCTTGGATTGCTTGGGGCATAAGCACCGTCAGCTCCCGGAGATGCCGGTTCCAATCAATGCCGGGTTTGGCGTTGTAGTTCTCAATGGGAAGCTCCTTGTCATCGGCGGATATTCCATGGCTGGTGGATCTAGTTCTGCTTCAGCAGATGTTTTTCAGTACGATTCTTGCTTGAACAGGTTAGTTTAAGTGGACAACCGGGCCAGATTGGGTTAAGGTCACTCAACTGGGCTATAATGCACATGAGTCAAACCACACTAAAAAATTGAATCCAATCAATTAGCCAGTCTAGCTTATGGCCTTATAAATCCATATGTTTTCTCTTATTTTATCAATGTGGACTCTTAACATTTATTAATTGTGCAGCTGGAGCACATTATCTAGCATGAATGTGGCACGCTATGACTTTGCCTGTGCGGAGGTGAATGGAATGGTGTATGCAGTTGGGGGTTATGGCGTGGAAGGAGAATCTCTTTCTTGTGCTGAGGTGTACGATCCAGATACCGGGAAATGGAGCGTGATCGAGTCTCTTCGTCGCCCAAGGTGGGGCTGTTTTGCGTGTGGGTTTGATGGGAAGCTGTATGTGATGGGTGGTCGATCGAGTTTCACTATAGGAAACTCGAGGTTTGTTGATGTGTACAGCCCCGAGAGGCACGCTTGGTGTGAGATGAAGAACGGGTGTGTGATGGTCACTGCCCACGCGGTGCTGGGGAAGAAGCTGTTTTGCATAGAGTGGAAGAACCAGCGTAAGCTAGCCATATTCAACCCCGAGGACAATTCGTGGAAGATGGTCGCGGTTCCTGTGACGGGGAGTTCGAGCATTGGGTTCAGATTTGGCATACTAGACGAGAAGCTTTTGCTATTCCCCGTGCAGGAGGATCCCGGCTACACTACGCTGTTATATGATCCAAATGCAGCTCCGGGTTCAGAGTGGCAGACCAGCGAAATAAAGCCATCCGGTTCGTGCCTGTGTAGTGTCACTATTAAGGCTTAGAACCTCACATTTTACTTGTTTTCTTGTCCTGATTTGTTACCTTAGTGCTTTGAACACTTTAGCATTGCTACAAACCTAGTTCTGATGATGTCTGTGTGTGTTATCTGGTTTTATGGTTGGAACTTTGGTACCAAATTAACTTGTAGTTTTGCTTCCTTGAATTGATCTTGTCTCTGGGGTTTTTGCTGTTGATGCTTTTGCCATTTATCCACCCTCTTTTTCCAGTTGTTTTTCATTTTAGGTAACGAGAGAAACTCACAGTCATTACTCAATAGTGTATAGATAAATTCCGTCTTGTCATTTTAATCGACATAAGACTACAAAGAAGTAAATAGGTTGCTTATAGCTAAGTCAAATCAAGAAGGCCAACAGGTCATTCCCGTTGGGAGTCGAACTTGTAACGAATAACCAAATTAGGCCACTTTATTAAATAGGTTACCTATAGTTAAGCCAAATCAAGAAAGCTAACAAGTCATTCTCGTTAGGAGTCGAACTTAAAACAAATGATCAAATCAGGTCACGGTTGCCTATAGCTAAGTCAAATTAATAAGACAACCGGTCACTCCCGTAACTAAGTCAAATCAAAAAGACTAACGGATCATTCATATTAGGAGTCGAACTTTACATAATTTTTGACAAAAATTAGGGATTAAACACATGACCTTCCAATCATTTAGAAGACCCACTTTGTGTCACTAGACTCTATAATATCATTAATCTTTGTATCATGAGTATAACTAAATGACAAAAATCTAATTTTTCCATTGTTATAAGATACAAAAGTTCTAATTTGTGCCCTCATTTTATCAAATGTGGATAGAAATTTGGTAGCAATATTAAATGTATGGCTCCGGCAGGCTCCGTTTGCTGCTAGCCAATGGCAATGCTACACTCCGAAGATTAAAAACCAGCGCCGCCTTCTCCGCCACCGCCTCCATGGAAGTCGAAGTTAAGCTTCGTTTACCCGACTCCGCTTCTCACCAGCGCCTCTCCACCGTTCTCTCTCCCTACCACCTCAAAACCCACGCTCAGGAAAACGTCTTCTTCGACGGAGCCAGCGCCGAGCTCTCCTCCAACCTCGCCGTGCTTCGGCTCCGCTTCTACGACCTCGATTCCAGATGCGTCATCTCCCTCAAGGCAAAACCCGTCATCTCCAACGGAATCAGCCGCATAGAGGAGGACGAAGAGCAACTCGACCCCACCATCGGGCGCGCCTGCGCGGCGGAGCCATGGCGGCTACTGCTAATTGACGGTTGCAGGATCGTAGAGAGAGTGAAGTCGGAGTATGAAATTGGGGAAAAGGGTTTGGTCTGCTTGGGCGGGTTTAGGAATTTGAGAGGAGTGTATGAGTGGAAAGGATTGAAATTGGAGGTCGACGAGACGCATTACGATTTCGGAACGGGTTATGAGATTGAATGCGAGAGCTCGGAGCCCGAAATTGCCAAGAATCTGATTGAGGAGCTGTTAAACAGTAATGAAATTCAGTATTCTTATTCTGAAGTTTCAAAATTTGCAATTTTCCGATCGGGAAAACTGCCTCATCAATATCAATAACTAACTTTAAGCTTGTATTTTCTCATTTATAGACAATCAAACCTACAAAAAGGTTATTCTTGGCTGATATTGAATCTGGAAATCATTTTCACCCCTGAAACCCTATCACCTTTCACCATTTCTGCAACCTTTAGTTGAATTATAAGTGCTTTTCTCCCTTTCACATTACTTTGTGGATTGTACATATATGCGTGTGTGTAAAAATAGCAGGTTTAGATATGGATAGTAATTGGTAATTGTTCTGCTGTTTCTGAAGATGGATTTGTTGCTTAACTAGTGAAAGATAGTGACTTTGAATTCAAGAACTTAACCTCTTAGTCAGTAGCTTCAGATAAGGGAAATGGGTATGTGAAACCAGGAACTTTGAATAATCTTGAGTTAGACAATGTCGATTTTGATGGTTTGATCCCCCCCCCTTTTCTTTTGTAAAAATAATTCTTTCTGGGATACATGGGTTGCATAAAATCTTAATTCTCGTTATGTCTATTACTGTGGCTGGGTTTATGGCATTTCCTTCCACAATGGAAGTAATGTGTTTGGTTCTGATTGTCTTGATAGGTTTACTGTCAGTGTTGTAGTTCCTGTTTAGAACAGCTGGGATCTTATCTGATGAGACCTACATTATTGTGAACAATGCTGGAGTTTTGGCTGTATATTTGGGTATAATGGGGATGCTATCTTGGTTTCCATTCACATTGTTTATGCTTTGATCCTAGGTTACGGGGTGTGGGATCATGGGAAGTTGGTCGCATTTGTGATCATTCTAGCATAAAAAATATTAACTCATTGAGCTTTACTTCAGCTGCTTCTGTAGCCCTTGCTAGCACTGGAATTTGTTTTTGTTGCCTTTTTTTGTAGCATTTATCACCTTTGTCAAAAGGGAAGCTCAAGCGCCAAAGATGATCCTGGATATTTGGATCCAAAGACGCAATCTTGGATTTGCTCACAGTGATTCCGAATTAATACCTCCAATGGTCATTCGAGTATTGTGCTATAACCAGCAAACGTCCTCTGAGTATCAAAACGTGACCACCCGTAGTCTTCCGTTAGCAAATGTGTGAACGTGGTATTAAATTGAAGGGTAAACTGAGTATACCCAATCAAAGTCGTAAATGTAACGCCACTTTCATGCCTTTGCTAACGGAACACCACATGTGGTCATTTTTTTTATACTCGGAGGACATTTACTGTCACTTTTTGATACTCGGAGGACGTTTGTTGGTCATTTTATACTCGGAGGACATTTGCTGGTAATAGCACAATACTTGAAGGATCATTGGAGGTATTAATTCCAGTGATTCCTATTATGTCTAACGCTTGTGTTCGCTACTTTGATGTTCAGCCTAACTTGAAGGGCACCTGCCTATGCTGCTTTACTGCAGAGTTGATCACAATAAGCGAGCCTAAATGTGGTTCACCGGTGTAATAAGTTGTTGTAACCTTGAGATTCTTTGTGTTATCAATGGCTTCTGAAGTGCTGAAACCCATGATATCCCTTTTTGTAAGTTCACAGGCTTTCTATATACTAGACTTGTTAATCTTTCTTATTCTTTGCTTCTTGTTCAGATGTTCCCATAGTTTACCCTTCTCCCTTTTACCTGTATCAACACCAGAAAACATGTAATTTGGTTCCATTCAAAGTTGCAATAAAGAAGAGTTTGGAGCGGTGTTGATATTGAGGAAGATGAGATCCTCTTTAATTGATTAGGACTAGGAGACACAAAACAGACAGTCCTTACCATTGCTTTATCACATGGGACACAGTCCCTTTAATTTTGTCTTGTTACAAACTTTAGGATACAAAATCATTTTGTGGTCTATCTGTTATACATTGTGTGATTGTGTCTTTAAATGAATAATGATGATAAGTTTAATTGTAATCACCATCCAATTGAGTAAGTTTACATTATTTGAGATTATCTTTCACGCATCAATTTAAGATCTGCACCATTACCCATTCTGTAATGTACTAATGTGGTCCCTGTAAATGTGTCTATATCAAAATTTCAAGTGTAGAAATAAAAATTATTTAAGAATAAGAGTACATATAGGTCCTGTTTGGTAAATAGTTGTTAGATGTTAGCTAATTAGGTTACTTAGAGGATATAACTAATTGATAACATTAGCTGATTGTAGAAATGTGTTTGGTAAATTAGCTGTTAGCTGATAGCTGATAGTTGTTTAGTATAAATTTTTTTTCTCAAAAAGCTAATTGGAAAAGTTGTTTTGAGTAGCTTTTTGAATTTTAACATTTTAGAATACAAAAAGCTAATTAACCAAACACTTATATTAATTTTTAAATCGAGTCAAACAACTAATAGTGATCAAATAACTTAAAATTGATGTATAGGTTAACTATTTTAGCAAATAGGCCATAGTATTATCCATGAAAATGGGTCGATTGAGTGATGGACCAGATAGGTAATTGATTGCAATATGGCATGCATCTACATATGAACATTCCTTTGTTCTCACTCAATGCTACACTTCCCAACTCCTTCTGTCCTTTTTCTGCATAACGGTGTCGGCATTGGTCCATTGATGACCGACTTTGGGATTCCATTTACCAAGATCCAAGATGTTTTTTTTTTTTTTTTTTTTTTTTTTTTTTTTTTTTTTTTAAAGTACTATTAACTCAGTTACAACATATATTAATTTTTATCCAAAATAATTTTGTTTAAATAATATTACCCTTATTTTGTATTAGTTAGAAATATATAGGTTTGTAGTTGGTGGTGATAATATTATTGTCATTGCCTTTATCTTTTTAGTGGGTTGATTAAAATTAATATCAACTAGTCTAGGAAAAAAAATTTTAAAGAAGAAGACATACTAATCAAAATTTTACTAGCTAACACATAATTAACACTTGTAAAACATTAACATACATTTATACATTCAATTCACCCCTATCAATAGTAAAACATGAAAATTCTTTCAATAGTAACTCAATTGAACATGAACATGAACCATAGAAGTTACGCACAAGGAGCTTTCCAACTTTCATCTCTATGACTAGTTGAGTTGTTCATGCGGACAAAACATGAAAATTAAACATCTTTTAATTAACACATAATCATCCCACCAAAAGTAACCCAGTTTTGTTTACTTTTAGTCAAGTACTCTCAACTCTCAAGCTTCAAGTGTCATCAAGTAAAGCATATAAGAGTCAGAAAAGAAATAAAGCAAGAGCAGTGGAGCGAATGCTAACCATCCACTCTCCATCTCTTTTCCCATAATATTAATTATTATCTCCACTGCACTTTCAAATTTATATTTACTTCAAAATTCTCGTTTCTCCTTCTAATCTTCTTCTTCTTCTTCAATGGATTGGTTTTCTTGGCTGTCCAAGACGACAACCTTAGACCCTACTCTTGTCTACGAATACGGCCTCACATTTGTTCAAAACCAGCTTGAAGAAGACGACATCGCCTACTTCAACCACGAGTTTCTGCAAAGCATGGGCATCTCCGTCGCCAAACACAGGCTAGAAATCCTCAAGCTCGCCAACAAACACACAACAACAACAACAACAAAAGCAGCTCCTCCTCCTCCTGCGCGTAGGTTTCTTTTAGCGATCAAACGTACGAAGAGGTGCGTGAGCAAGTACATCCGGAGGAATTGGAATTGGAACTGGATTGGGTGCGAGGAAGCGGCTGGTGGGCTTGCGCTGGTGCCATTGAGGAGAACTCAGAGCTCGTTAAGATGGAGGAGTAGTACACTCAGAAGGAACAATGTGAAGAAGACGGAACCCATCAAGCAGGGCACGCTGTTGCTTACAAATGGGCATGGCGGCGGTACGATGTTGTGGTCGTGTAGTTCCAGATTCGATAGCTTGTCGAGCTCGATGGTTGTTGAGGATGATGATGATGAGAAGGGAGATGGCGATAAGTACTGGTCGTCCACATCTGTGGTTGAAGATCAGATCAGGTGGGATGCAATGTTTCAGGACTTGAAACCAACTTGAATATAATTAAGGTATATACATGGATTGGATTGGATTCTCGTACCATTTTCGATCTTGTGGTTTTCATCCTTTGTTCCAGAGGGTAGTTTGGTTTGATGAAACTTTTTGGGAATTCTTCCCTCCAAACTATACTCCTCTTTTAATTCATACATATTTTTAATTGTTCCAGAGGGTAGTGTAATTCTGATTTCGATTGTGTCTTTTTTTTTTTTTTTTTTTTTTTTTTTTTTTTTTTTTAATGAGTCTACTATTTTAGTCTTTAATTGTAGTCACATAACTGATTTGTCATTTGGTTCTTTAGATTTTAATGGAACCCAGATTTTAAAGATTAAATTCACTACTTAACTAAAAATTTAAGTTATAAATTTACATCAGCAATAACTAAGAAACTAAACTATATTATTGTCACAATTGAGGGAGTTAATTAAATTATCAATTTTTTGGGGTATTGGTTTAAATGTTTAATCATTAATATTTCAATTCAAGTTTAAGGGGTTATAAGGGCAACCCCACTCAAGCTGTTTAGAATATTGACTTGGGAATCACAATGTTACAAATTTGATTTTCAACGGAAGCGGCTTATTGACCTTCTTGGTTTGAATCGATCAACTATGGACAACCTAAACTGATTTATTTTCTTGTGGTTTGAGTTGGCCAGCTAGAGTCATAATAATGAGTTTGAATGACCATTATTCACAGTGGGATCGGACATGAAGAAACTCTGCATAGAAAGAGACATTAATGTTGTATGTGACAATTGATTTGATAATCATAAGGTTTTAAGTTTTACTTCTCATCATTGAAATTGTTTATTGGTCTTTTTTATTCGTACCAACCCTTTATACATATTCTAAACTAATTTATCTCATTGTGATATTTATTATCGACTAAAATCACAAACAAACTTTTACTCAAAATATCCTTTTGAATAGCGGATGGGGAATTTCAATTCCAATGTTTTGTATACATGGGAATTGAAAGGGAATAAGTAGTATAAAGTTAAAAATGTCTATTGTTGTTGTTAGGCATTAATTATAGGTTAAAAAAGGAATGAGTAATTTTGACTCATCACTATCTTTTTTTCTTCCTAAAATCCCAAAGAATTAAAATCCAGGGGGACATGAGATTTTAATTCAATGAAAATGAGGGAATTGCAATTCCTTTCAACCAAACAAGGAAATTTTGTCCTTTGGAATTAGGTGGAAATTAAGTGGGAAGAGAATTTAAATTTCTTTCAACCAAACGCCCTGTTAGTATTCAGTAAGATCAGCTTATATCTAAATAAGTAATAAAAAAATCAAATAACCTATTGAACTAAACACAAAATTACAATTGCCAACTGCCATGTAGTGTGATGGCATTACGGTTACCATTCCAAATGAATGGTCATAAAAAATCACAAGTATTTCACCAAAAAAAAAAAAAACACAAAATTACAATTAAACTATTGAATCTTTATATATATAAAAAAAAACTAATTGAAACTCTGAAGAAGCGAAATTTATTTGGGTCGTTATATCGTGCACCGCAGTGCATAATCGATTATGCACCGCGCGTCAGATACTACAGTGTGTTTAAACCGACACTGGCTCACGTATTATTTTTATATTATCAAATGAAACTACAGTTATGTCAAAATGATACTGTAGTTGTGGTGAAATGAAACTACAGTATATATAAAATGAAACTGAATAACATTTCACATATTTGAGTGTATATTGTACAATGAAGCTATAATTATATTCAAATGATCATGTAGTTGTGTTTTAATGAAATTATAGTGTATATAAAATAAAATTAAATAACATTTTCACATATTTGAGTGTATAAATATTGAATGAAACTGTAGTTATATCGAAATAAAACTGTAGTTGTGTTGAACTGAAACTGCAGTATATACAAAATGAAACTGAAGAACAGAGTTATTTTTTGCGAAGATTCTGTTTCTTTTCATTAAATAAAACGACTTCGTTTTGATAGTATCGATTTAGACACACTGTAGTGTCTGACACGCGGTGCATAATCAATTATGCACCGCGGTGCACGATATAATTTGCCAATTTATTTCAATCCTACAAAATGACAAGTGAACTCCCTTACTATCTGGTTACCAAGACTACCTGAATTTATACTTGGCATTCTTAAATAGGCTTAACTTAATTATAGAATCACCCAAAAAAAAAAAAAAAATTACCGCCCAATTTATCAAGAGTTAATACTCAAAATCATCCTCGACTATAGTGGTTTTTCTCAATTTCGTCCTAAAGGTGACATAATATCGTCCCAGACTTTTGTGTTTCGCTCAATTTAGTCTCAGACTTTTGTGTTTTTGCTCAACTTAGTCCTTCATTTGTTATTCTGTCCATTTGGTGTTAAATAAATAGACAATTCAGTAATTTTAATATTGGCATCTCTTTACTCATAGACATGTGAACTGCGAAATCCTTTTTTTTTTTTACGAATTACTCCCAGAATTACTCCTAAAACTGCGAATATAAAATTTGATTTGCAGATCCGGGAGTAATTCTGGGTGTAATTCGTACAAGAAAGAGGAATTTCGCACTTCACAAGTTGAAAGTAAAGAGAGATCAATATTGACATTACTGAATTGTCCCTTTATTTAACACCAATTTGACGGAATAACAAATGGAGGACTAAATTGAGCGAAACACAAAAGTCCTAGGACGATATTAGGTCACCAAAGTTGTTTAGGACGAAATTGAGAAAAACCATTATAGTCGAGGACGATTTTGGGTATTAACTCAATTTATCAATGGCTTGAACTCGATTGTATTGTGTTTAGTCACAACATAGATTTATTCTTTGTAAATTTAGTTTATAAAATCTTATTAAAGTGAAAAATTTATTTCTTAAAATTTTAATGAAATTCTAATTTCATATATCAAATTCATCACTTCACTAAGAATGAATTTAAGAGCTAAATTTACATCTCAAATATTTAAAAGACAAACCCTATAACTATAGTCACAATTTAGTGACTAAAAGTATAATTTTTTTTTACATTGATTTAATTCAAAGTTTCAAGTGGTTTTTGGAAATTATCAAGTGAAGTCTCAATAGAGATAGCAGGAGCCAATTTTGGTCTGGCTCAAAAGGGATCGTCACTGACGAGAATCAAACCTGGGTTATTCCAAAATTCTTCTCCACAAAAAGAACTCATTTGCTACTTGAGCTACACTATTGGATTACCAATATAAGTGTTTGTTTAATTAATTAGGTTTTTATAACAACTTATTGCTCCAAAATGCTAAAACTCAAAAAGCTACTCAAATCAACTTTTTGATAAAGTCATTTTACATGTAAACAGCTATCCGTTAATATTTAATTTACCAAACATCTTTCTACAATCAGCTAATACTATCAAACTAGTCAAACCCATTTAATACTTATTTATGAAACGCCACATAAGTATTGTACGTATTTAGTGTAAATAAGATTTATTATTTGAGAAAAATGATGAGTTTGAATGAGCATTCTTGTTGGTGCAGTGGGACATGAAGAAACACTGCATATAAAGAGACATTAATGTCTGTGACAATAATGATATTGTCTCTCCAATGTCATGTGCCTAGCTTGATTTTGCTTCAAAGGGTACACACACCTTTTGTCAAGTTAAAGGAAAGAGGGGCTCCTCACTAGTCACTAGCACTCGAAAGTCAAAGAAACCTTTAATCATATGTTGGCACGAACTTAACTCGATGATTCAGAAGATAAAATTTAAAAGAAGAGATCAAAGTCTGAACTTTGGTGGCATCAATATGAGAATTATGTCAAAGTGGATAAATCTCTTGTGCACACCGGCATTTAACCATGTCTATTTAGTCCTTGAGTTTCCGTGATTTAAATCATTCCAAATGCTCTGTTGGATCAGAGTGTGGAAGTCCTTAGGATGGGAATTCAACCTTTTGGGAGAAGAAGAAAACTTTAATCATCGATAGTATTTCACTTAGATTTGGTGTTACTTTCTTCCAACTCCATGATATAAGTTCAATCCCAAAAATAATACTGTATATAATTAAGGATAAAATGTGTAGTGTCTAGACATTAAATTATGGAGATACTGTTTAGACTGTTCTTGGAATTACACAAAACATATGCTACTACAAAATAGGCTTAACTTAATCATAGAATCACCATTACATTACTGCTCAGTTTATCAATGGCCAGAAGTCTGTTGTACACGAAAAGAACCTCCTGCATATAGCATCTGATATACTGGTCTGATTCTGATGGTCAGAATTATACTCAACAGAGTTCCCAAACCACAAACTCCAGCTAAAATCAAGAAAGTGAGCCTAAAGCAGTTTGGACCCATACACTGAACCACCCGTTGCCTGGCCGCCTCTGCGTCGTATACATAACCAGCAAGCGAACCCGAGAACACGAGGGCGCCTATGGGGTTCCCGAGCTGCATGAAGTTGAATATTACCCCAAAGTTTCTCAACCCGAAGAGCTCAGAAGTAGTCGGGATCATTATGCCAAATTGAACGCCGAAGCAGACCCCTAGCAGCGCTGTTGCAGGGTACAGAGTCCCGGGCAGCGCCGATGCGTATAGGAGGAATGTTATGATCATGATGATTTGGGTTACTATCATCCAAAATGTTCGAGGAATTGTTCGTGACCTGCAAAGATTAGCTGTTAGCTGATTGGGTTAATTAGATGGTATAACTAGTTAATAACATTAGCTGATTGTAGAAAAGTGTTTGGTAAATTAGCTGTTTGGTATAATTTCTTTTCTCAAAAAGCTACTTGAAAGTGGTCAAATAAGCCAAAACTGACTGATAAGCTAACAATTTTACCAAACAGGGCCAGTATAATGAATCATTAATCATATGATTATTGAGAAATCAAATGCATTAAGAGAATTATAAGCAGCTAGGGAAAGAACAATTACCTCACAAAAAGCTCTGAAACTACACCAGCGCCAAGACGGCCCAAGAAATTGCAAAAGCTAAACAAGCTCAGCAGTATTGTTGTATCGTTCACGCCTAGCGAAACTCCGATTTGTGCTAAGTTGTTAAGGACAGTAACTCCCGAACCAACCCCGAGGAAGTATGCAAACCAAAGGAGCCAGAAATCGGCCTTCACAACAGCTTCACGAAATTTGAAATCTTCTCCTCGCCTGGGTTTTCGTTTCAATTTCACAGCACCCTCACCCACAGCAAGCAGAAATTCCACGTCCGACATCTCCTCACCCTCACGAAAGCTACCGAGGTTCGATGATGAAGCAGATGGTACTAATAAAGGAGCGGTTTGGCTGGAATCGCCTTCTGCTTCTGGCTTACGCTTCCTCGGGAATAACGTCATTTTTAATGGAATCGCAAGAGGAGACATCAAGAAAATAACCATAACCCCAACAAATACGTAGCAGATAGAGCTACTAATAGAAATTGTGACATTCAAAATTGTCGTCGTGAGAAGATATATGGAAAGAATGACACTTGCAGCTTGCGTGAAAAGAAAATGGCCATACTCTGAAGAATCCTCTCCAGAAGCGGGCGTACAACGCCGAATAAAATACATCATCCCCAAACATAAACCGGGAATTCCCAATGTAAGGAATAGCAGTAACTTGGAAGCTGAATCATCAAGAACCATAGTGAATACCTCGGTGAGAGCTTGAGCACTGATACCTATATAGCCTTTGAGTATCCCGGCAACTGTGCCCCGACTAAGAGGAAAGTTCCTCATGTTGGTAACAAGCACGGCGGTGCCAAGCCACGCACTACTATTCGTAGCAATACACAGCGCAACCCATAACTGTCAAAGCACAAGAGAAGCTCGATCAAAATAATTAATTTTGACAATTTAATGAAGCCAATTTGAGGGTGTAAAACAGCATCTAAAGCCTCAATTCTCGAGCAAACATAGAAGAAACTAAATTCTAAATGAACTTGACTCAATCCAGCTAAATCCTAACCCCAATCTTGATACTAATATACAAATTCAGATATTCTTCCCTTTCTTGTTTCCTTAGCTTGTCTCTGGTTTTGTCCTTTTAAAGTCACTAGAATTGCAAAAGTGTCATATCCACGTACAAAATTATGCGCAAAGTGGCGAGTTTGTCCATGAAGGACTAAACCCGCCACTTTATTAAGTGACATATCGGTGGGGACTAAAATCGATGCTTCGCCTAACTTAAGGGTTAAAAGATGGTCATGCATACAATGAATGACCAAGTCTGTACCACGGGTATAACTGAATAACCAAAAATGCAATTCTCGCAATAATCTAACAGTTTTTTGTTCTTTGCAAGATTTGTGTATTTGCAATATACTCAACTAATAAATACAGCAAATTAAGGTGGAAAAAACTGATTACTAATCCTAAACAAGTAAATAAAAGCCCTAAATCAGAATTCAGTAAATCAAGACAATTGAATTGAAGCAAGACAGAGGTATAAACTACAGGCAATGAAATCCGAAAAAGGGAAAGTAGAAAGTGCAGAAAAGATTCAATCTTTGAGATGAGAAAGGGAAATAAAAGAGCTCACAAGCCAGTAAGGCAAGGATTGAACAGTCTGGCTAACAACAAGCCAAAGAACGCCATAGCCCAGAAAAGCACAAGCAGCGCCAACAAGAAGCACAGCCCAGGGAGGGAACTTATTGCAGGCTATCCCTGGAAGAATCCCCACATTTTCCCCAATATCATTGGCCACTCCAAGAATGGTGAGCTGCTGCTGACTGAAACCCAGCACTGATTTCAGAGAAGGAGAGTAGAGAGGGAAAGTGTAAGCGTTCCCGGCGGCGATTTGAACCCAAACCGCCGCTCCAAGACCCACCCACGGTGGTCTACTCCCTTCTTTTAGAACCACCATTCTTTTCCCACACTGTTCTTCTTGATTAACCTATGCTTCAGCTCTCCGGTTCTTGAGGTTTGATTAAATTGACGATTCTCAAGCCTCAAGTTCTTCTCCCTAAGGGGGACAAGGGTATATTTAGATATTAACTAGCCACTGTATTGGAATATGAATTCTCCTTTTTCTTTCTTTGTTTTAGTCTCTCTGGTGGTAGGTGTTCCAACTGCCAAGAGATGTGGATGAAGAATAGCTAGAAAGGTCATCATTTTATTACAAGACACTAGGCAGGTACTGATAGTCTGGTACTGTATACTGAATTACAGATTTACAGGGACCAGAATACTTCATTTGCATACTTATCATGTGATAAAAGGTGGTGATTGTCTTATGGACCGGGACCGGCTCAAGATCATATCAATGTTTAATAGTTTGTGGTAGGTTCAGTGTTCAGACAAGTCTTGATGAGATTTTTAGATCCAAGTATGATGTGGCTAAAGTTTTTGGTGTGATTTTTGAAAAAGCAAGGCTTATATGGAGGAGAGAGGATGAAGATAGGAAAAAAAAAAAAAATCTCTTGTAAAGCTTTGATTTTTAAGATATAAAAATAGGTTGATCAAAGCATGTGTCAATCTCAACTAAAAGTCTAAGCTCATAGTTGGATTGCACATTAATGGCTATATGCTCAACATATTTCAATTAGACTTTGTGATCTTCATAAAAGGTGTAGCTCATTGAATTTAGATTTTGAATGCATTTGGAATCAATTGATTTGGACATTCATAGATTAGATATGATCAAAATACCGAGATATTGTTTGTCATAACAGAGTACCATATATACGAGTATGACCGTCAACGTGACGCGCTTGGTCTTCACTCCAAAATTCACTTTTCTTCATTTCCTTTGTTCTTTCGAGTCCTGATATCTTCCAACTCGTTTTTTTTTTTTTTTTTTTTTTTTTTTTTTTTCACTCCCTTAATATTTCAAGACTCTCGGAACATGCCTTTATAAACAAGATGACTTCACAATACATCAAATTAAACTCTAATTTACTTGAGTTTACAATTAATGCCTCCAATCACCTACATAACATAATGGAATCAAATGAACACACACTTAACTTCAAATTAACACAAAACCATATAAATTGATGTTAAATATACAACATAAAAATAGTAAGAATCGGCACTCATCACCAAGCAAGATTGGAAATGAGTTATGTATTAATTAGAACTATATATGTGGATTTTTTAGTTTCCTCCATTGAATTGAAGTCCCCAGTTCTAAGAATGATTGGAAATGAGGTATGTACTAATTAGAACTATGGGGGATGAATTTTAGTTCCTCTCAATAATTGAAAATATGTAGACATCCTAGTATTAGCTAGAAGTCTAAATTAGTAAAAAATGAATCATTTTCTCAACCTATCCTATCTTATCCTATATATAATAAAGCTATATTTTTTTTTTGAAAATATAATAAAGCTATATGGTCTTGTGAAAATTGAATGTTGCATTTAATTTTCACAAGACTATATGATTTTAAGATGTGAAAATCTTGTGAAAATTAAATGGGCTTTAAGATGTGAAAATTATTTTAAGATATGAAAATTAAATGCAACATTTAATTTTCACATCTTAAAGTCATATGGCTTTAAGAAGCATGCATGCAACCCCAAAGTCCATAAGTTTGAAATAAATATATAGCATAGCTATGTGGCTTAATATTTAAGATTGTTGATGTGCATATTGAGGACTACGGAGACAAAGATGCGTTATTCGTGGATTCATCGGATACTATCCAACAACACTCTCTAACTTAATTGACGTGAAGTAGGCTTAGTAACATTAAGATTATATTCTCGAATTATTAGTTCTTATCTTTTATTGATTACACACTTAATTCGATAGTCTTTTGAAGAAAAAAATCAATGTTCTAACTAAGATTGTGATTTTGGTCTTTAAAGGTCAATTGTATGTTGCTACATCTAGAGTTAGAAATCTCAAAGGTCTAAAAATTTTGATCCGTGGTGACTCTAAAATTGTAATTCAATTACTATGGTAGTTTACTAAGTTCTTAAAAATTTATAATATTAAATACTATGTACTAAATTTTTAATATAGTTTAAGATTTGTAGTAATCACCCACCTTAAATATTATTTTAATTGTAAATATATTTATGTTCATAATTTTATCATAGGAATTCACACATAATAATTATTAAATAACAAAAATTTTATATATGAATAAACCTCATATAGTGTATATTTTTATAACATATTTTCCATGCATCGCACGGGACAAATACTAGTATATTGAATAGTACAATTTTTATAATGATAGAAACATGGAAGAGAGTGTGCAATTCTTCATTGTATTAATCTTTATATATAAAGACTTTAACAGCTTAAAATTTACACCAATTATGTGTGCCTTCATCCTTCTTATACCAAAAACTTAATAGAAAAAATAAATCTTAGAATATGCATTAACGTTATATAAAATTTTCAAAATGTTTGTAACCCTACTACTTAAAACTAGTGGATTTTATCTTTTCTTGCCATGCTAATTGCCTCACCTTAGATATAATTGTGAAATTTTGGTTCTTGATGCAAATATCACTTCCACGGAAATTATGGAATTTCCGACCACCTGAAAGTGATCTTAAATCAAATCGAAAGTAAAAGTGATCGGAAATAGCTATAAAGGTTTTTTCAGACACCAAAAGTGATCGAAACAAGATTTTCAACTTGATTTAAGATCATTTTCAGGTGTGATCAGAAATTCAATAATTTTCAACAGTGTTCTTTGAAATTGATTGATCTTTGCTTTCAATACATAATTATTATTACTCCGTAATTATTAAAACGTTAAAATGTTTTCAAAAAATTTAAATTAAAAAAAAATATTCACTGATGTGATAATAAAGCAAAATGAAGAGGCCGCGAATCATGTTCCCCACCGCGTACGTATCTTCCTCACATAATGCGCGTCCTGTCAAATACTCAAATCTATTCTCAAATCACGCAATTAATGGTTTAAATTTTTATTAAAATATTAGTCAATATTGCACGTTTTGTAATTAAATAAATATTTTAAAGAAAATTAATAAAGTTATAATGAGAATATACTAAGGGTGTGTATGGTTCGTACATGGAAATCGGAATCAGAATAGGAATCAAATGCTTGGTAATGATAATGAATTTTGGTGCAAGTATTTAGCATGTTTGGTAGTAGGGTGGAATGAGAATGATAGTCAATATTGTTGTTTGCTATGTGATGTTCTAAAAACCCGGAGTGGAACACTTATAAAATAAGGGAATAAGTTTTTCAATTAATTATGGACTATTCCAAACACATAGTGGTGTTTTAAAAACCAGCCAACCAAACAATAACAATCACTTTCATATCCATTCATGAGTGTTAAACTTGTCAACCAAACACACCCTAAGAGCATCCATAATAGTGAGATTTTTTGTGATTTTTTAAGGAGTTTTTGTATGTGTGATTAGGAAAGAGAATACAGGAGGGGAGAGAGAAAAAAAATTGATTTCAAAAAATAATAATAATAATAATAATAATAATAATAATAATAATAATAATAATAATAATAAAACACTGCACGCCCACGACGTGGCTTTGCTGTGCGCAAAATGCGCACAACAGTGTTTCCTTCTCATTCTCGTGTACTGTTCCAAAAACTTGCCTTTGCAGAACATCCTGGAATTTCTCTCTTTTACCATTTCTCTCCACCACATAAGCAATCAATGTTCCAAAAACCTCATAATATTCACTGGTATTGATGTTCTAATAAAAATAGTAAATATGTGTTCAAAAATAAAGAACAAATGTGACATTGGAAAAAGTCTGTATATGCACAAGAAAATAATGACCATGTACATGCAAATTATTACATTTAATAGAGTTAACACTAAACAACTTAAAATCAAAAATGAAAACAAAATCGAAAGAAAAAAAAAGAATTTGTAAGTGTATAAGAAAGTAAATATAATCAGGGGCGGAGCTACAAGTGGAGGCAGCTTTACCCCAATCCATATATAACCCCTTATATATATATATATATATATATATATATATATATATATATATAGGTAAAGGTTCCCGTGCGGTTGTGCGGTTATTAATGTGCGTGAGATTTGTACTCAATGTGCGTGAGTACGTGTTGTGTCTAATGTGCCTGAGATTTGTACTTAATGTGCGTGAATGTGTAAAATGCAGCAGAAAATATGGTTATCAGCTTCTTCCCCATCCCCAGCACTGCTTCCCAAAGTGAATAGTGTGTTGCTCTGCTTTACTGATGTTTACAATGAAATAAAAGCTTCCCAAAGTGAATACACAAATTCTATCCTTATCAATGGTCTATGCAGACTGATCTTGGTGCGAGAATTTGGAACTTTTGTTGTTTGCTTCAATTCCATCATGTCATATTTGTTTATTTATTTATTTATTAATTGATTTATTCTGCTATGGTGAAGGTGAGTATGGAGGACATAGAAAAACTAGTGGAAAGAAATAGAGAATTTTGATCTACTGGTGATTGGTCTGCAAGAGGTTCCTCGGATTAATGTTTCCAGATTGTTGAAAATTCTCTTATTACTCACGCACATTAAGCACAAATCTCACGCATATTAAGCACAATACTCGGGCACATCAAGTACAAAACTCACGCGTATTAACATGACGCACATTAAGTACAAATCCCAAGCATATTGAGCATAACACTCACGCACATTAAGTATAAACCCCACGCACATTAATTCACCGCACAACCGCACGGGAAGTGTGTGTATATATATATATATATATATATATATATATATATATATATATATATATATATTACATGTTTTAGTATAAGTATAAAAAAAATACTCCATAAATGCTAACAAGAGATGGATTGGATAGTTGGTAAAACACACGTTTAACTCTACGAAAGGCTAGGGTTTGAGTACTTTCTTATGGTTTCAACACAACTTTTTTACGGCGCCTATTGCTTCAACACATACACAAAGTTTCTTTATGAGTTTTAAATATTAATTAATGGTGAGATTCACACACACACACACACATAATATAATCATCTTTTATATTAATAATGAAATGTGTAATTTACAATGTGTTTTCTATTTGAATTATTTTATTAAATTAATTATGTTTCATATGTTATGAATATTTTTATAAAGTTTTGATGTGTTTTATTTTTTCCTATATTCAACAATATTTA